AGTAACTCCATTTTGGTGTTGAAACAACTCCTGTTTGGATTTTTATTCCCCAACATAGCTTTACCTTGGGTAGTTGAATTAACTCTTCTTCAATAATTATCATATTATAACTCCTCTTAAATAGGATGTGCATGAATTGCATGCATTAATTTTCGTCGGTTGCAACTGTTTCCTAACAATTGGAAAATGGCTCCCAGTATCCTGCACGCACTTGGTTGCAAACTCGCATACTTTTAATTCAGACAGAAGACCCAAATTTTCGTTCCCTAGCGCGTTGGTAAGTGACTTACCCTGAGTAATAATTCATTTTGTGGGAATCCCATGATTAGAACGGATGACAGCTCACACAACACTAATTATCGATCGATTTGTTTTCTTCAAGTAGCCATTTACTAAATGTTATTAGCCCACATGTAAATGAGCAGTATTTTACGGGTAAATGCAATGGAAGCATATTCTTGTCATGTTGGTGTCTCGAAACGTTTTTCACGTAGTATCAGCCTTGCAGTCTAATTGCTTTGTTGTAGGAAATGCCGTCGCCTTTACAAAATTGTCAAGTTGCTTTGGCGAGATATCTTCAAAAGGAGTTGTAAAGTCTCTCCGATTTGAAAACACGCTCTTAGAGATTTTACGAACTTCATTGTTTTAATTTCGCTAATCTCTAAACAATAACACTTGAGTTGCTTTGCCCAAGTTGTTGTCAATTGTCGAAAATTGCAGTTGTAAACAAATAGTTTTGTGTCGGGTTTCCCGATAAACTCACGTCTAAAAGTAATCAAAGATTCCTAAAAGCTAACTCATTCATTCATATAACAAAAATCATGGCAAAAGTGCAATGACTTGTTGAAGATGTTTCAAACCACACCCCTCATCTGTCCCAACCAAACTCCTGACTAAAACAAAGGTCACTAGCTGTAACTACAAATAAACTTGATTGGTTAGTTTATTTTAAAATTGATATGCGATATTTTGCCATTTTTGGCTCGTCAGTGTGAGTCGTCGGAGGAGAAAGAAAACTAAAATACCAGTCCAAGCAATTAGAATGCTATTTCCAAACACAACAACATTTTTAAAAGTCTATTTTTATCAAATTTAACAAAATTTAATGTTAACAAGATTGATCAAAGGAAAGCTTTAAAGTGCCACTATGATGAAATTCTCGATATCCATTTCTTTACATTTTCGTACACATTAGGTCTTTCCTAGATATCTTGCCAAATTTCAATTTTCTNCTAAATGTTATTAGTCCACATATAAATGAGCAGTATTTTATGGGTAAATGCAATGGAAGCATGTTCTTGTCATGTTGGTGTCTCGAAACGTTTTTCACGTAGTATCAGCTTTGCAGTTTAATTGCTTTGTTGTAGGAAATGCCGTCGCGTTTACAAAATTGTCAAGTTGCTTTGGCGAGATATCTTCAAAAGAAGTTGTAAAGTCTCTCCGATTTGAAAACACGCTCTTAGAGATTTTACGAACTTCGCCGTTTTAATTTCGCTAATCTCTAAACAATAACACTTGAGTTGCTTTGCTCAATTTGTTGTCAATTGTCGAAAATTGCAGCTGTAAACAAATAGTTTTGTGCCGGATTTCCCGATAACCTCACGTCTAAAAGTAATCAAAGATTCCTAAAAGCTAACTCATTCATGCATATAACAAAAATCATGGCAAAAATGCAATGACTTGTTGAAGATGTTTCAAACCACAGCCCTCATCTGTCCCAACCAAAGTCCTGACTAAAACAAAGGTCACTAGCTGTAACTACAAATAAACTTGATTGGTTAGTTTATTTTAAAATTGATATGCGATATTTTGCCATTTTTTTCTGGTCAGTGTGAGTCGTCGGAGGAGAAAGAAAACAGCACATTCCACAGCTAAAACACCAGTCCAAGCAATTAGAACGCTATTTCCAAACACAACAACATTTTAAAAACTATATTTTTGACAAATTTAACAAAATTTAATGTTAACAAGATTGATCAAAGTAAAGCTTTAAAGTTTTTTTCTAACTTCATTTATTAAGTTGGT